TTTCATATCTTGAAATTCACTATGTTCCCTTCAAAATTTCACATTATGATTAAATTATGAACCATTGTCGCTACTCTTTTCGATTCCTCAGAATCACAAATGGAACAACATATTCAATGTTCCATTAATGTTTCAGAAAAACGAGGAATGTGTTGAGATAATATATCATGAAATACTTCAGATATTTGAAACCGACGGTTTTTGAGATATTTCCTAGAGAACCTGTTTAATTGATTTCTGAACTTGGAATGGAAACTCTTCAAATGGAGAGTTGAGAACATAATAATCAGTTGGTGAATATAACAATGCAAGTGACATGTAAAGATATCTTAGAAGAAGCATTGAACCTTCAGGTATTATGAAATTTCTTGAGGAACAATTAAATTCATCCTAAATAATAATAATCCTATGTATCCTTGACGTACGAACACAGAGTCAATTGATTAATTTATTCGTATTTTTGTGATTTATGGCAACATTATTGGATTTTTGGCCTCGTAAAAACCATACTTCAGGTAATCAGAGTACACACCTGGTCCCACACCACTGTAGGTTTATGATATAAACAAGGTATCAAATATGGTCGCACTTTCCCTTCACAAGAAACCACGGAATATGTGAATCAACATTTTACTTCTGCACTATAAAATTACTTCTTGAACTAGTTTTGAAGGAATATTTTGAAGGTCATCTTAATGATTGACAATATCTGCAACGCCCTGTATAATGTATATCTACGGAATTATGTATATTCCATGTTTCGCTTTACGACAATTATTCTCTCTGTGTTCCAGTTGTGCGAATAATAAAAACGTTTATTATTTCCAATCAAATGAATCCATTGAATCGAATATAAAGTCACTGATAGCGAGAATTTCCAAAATAATTGGATTGTATCTATGTGTAACGTGATGCTAGTGCACGAATTGATTTTGTTTAATTGATATTTGATAAAACGACACGGAATTTGCTACATTTACAAAAACTAATTTGCTGTTGATGAATAATAGCTTTGTCCGAGGTTTTGTTCATGATATGCTAACTGGTACACGAAGGATAAAAGAATTATCATTCCCATCCACTATATGGAGTTATAAGCGTGAATGAGGACCGATCCTATTACAGAGGCATCTGAATACATAGAAATACAGGGTTATAGGAAGTTATGTAGATTTATTCACTTCGTCAATGAGGTAACCCTCTCCAAGTTAACTTTCGATCGACTGAGGTCTGTTTTCATTTCTTCTTCTTCAATGGTAGTTCAAATGCTACATTCTGATTTCGATAATAAATAGGTATCTTCCGAACTAGCGACTGGACGTCATGTTCAAAGATAGTTTTGAGAAAAATGAGAGGCCGAATGATACATCAATTGAAACGTCTTTCAACTCTTTATGCGACACCGGGTTGATAATCAAAAGCTGAGACACAGAAACTCTTTGTCATTCCACCACAGATAATATTGAAAGTAGGGTGTAACTATAGTTTTGGCCATTATCAGATACATTGAGTACCTGAAATGATACAAATCTCAACATCATATCGAACGAAGAAACATACATATTCTGAAACATGTGTGGAAGTTAGGTTGAAGATTGGAAGTGAGAAGTTGCTTGATTAGTCGTCAACTCAGATCAGTCGAATTATTCGTTGACTTCTTGAATCGGCTAGAAACCCAGAAGAACTAAGTAATAAGTAAGTTACACATCGGAAAATTCAAAGGGAGAATTATAAATTCTCTCTTAAATGAGCTTCAACGTCAAACCAAAGAAATGGAAGAAAATTGAAATATGAACTATGACAATGACGATGACAGTTATGATACATTCGACCTCAAAGATATTCTTCAATATACTCAAAGCCCTAAAAAAATTTAAACCAGTAATAAAATTATTATTCATAGACGTACGCGGAACATAAAAATGGTACAAAAATCAGCAAATACGAATCATAGCAATTTGCTCATAAAGGCTTCACATGGTCTGAATACAAGAATTTAGCACATAGCTAACGAAGATATTTCGTTTTTCGGGTTTTTCTCCAACTACAGTCACCACATCTTCCAGTTTGTCCAGGTTCCATCTGAGCCCGTTCATTTTTTTACGGATCTTGCAGATTACACAGTTCTCTTAGTCGCAATCTAATATTTGCTGGTATATGTCGATTCAAATATCTATTTTTTGATGTTTGTAAGTCAAAGCAAAAGCTTGTTGTTACCATTTGCCGTCTTGGTTTTGTTGATATTCAACAAACTATAAAATATCACCATGGACCATCTTCTGGAGCAACGTGCTACATTGTACTGTGCACACAATTGGTCCACAGTATCGACAACACTCTCCGTTGAATTATACTGAGATATTATTTCTGGTTCACCAGATTCCTCATCAACATCATCTCCGTGATGCATGGTTGAATACAATATAAAATACCTTTTTTTTTTCGTTCATATGACCCCAAGGTTCCTCCGCAGCCAAAAGCAAAAACACTAGATCCAATTGGTCTACTTTGAGCTTGTTTTAAAAAATCAGGTATTCCCCTTCTTCTGCCTTCTATAGTTCCAACTGAGGTTAGACCATTCTGTTTCAGTTCTATACCAAGTGCAGCGCTAGTGTACCAATTGTCTGTTATGTTATGAAGGTGCTGACAGGCCCTTTCAGTTAAAGCTTTACTACTGTTGTCTATACTAAAAGGGTACACTGGTTGTGACATAAACTTCCATATGACTAGTGTAAGATAATTTCGCATCACAAGTAGCGAATATTTTCGAACCATATCAATTAGGTTCACTTGGGATGTGCTGGCGGAAAAAACATCTGCCTCTGAAGGCTTCCAGTTTTTCATCAATAGTAACGAATTGAGAATCAGAGAAACTGTTTCTTGACTTTCATTCCATTTTGTCAATATAGTTCAGATTGGGGCTAGTTTTTTAAAAATAGATCCCTCAGTCCAATATGTATGTCGTCAAAGCGAATATACCTTAGTGAAACTTTAAATATTTTTTTATTCATTGTTAATCGGGAAAGTTCTATGCCAGTCCCATCTGTGTTTCATAAATCAATAGTATTCAACGAAGATATTTCGTTTTTCGGGTTTTTCTCCAACTACAGTCACCACATCTTCCAGTTTGTCCAGGTTCCATCTGAGCCCGTTCATTTTTTTACGGATCTTGCAGATTACACAGTTCTCTTAGTCGCAATCTAATATTTGCTGGTATATGTCGATTCAAATATCTATTTTTTGATGTTTGGAAAGTTCTATGCCAGTCCCATCTGTGTTTCATAAATCAATAGTATTCAAATGACTTGCTTTCCTAACACCTGCAAGATATAGTAATCCAATTAGGGCTCTAATTTCGTCAATGATGGTTGGCTAATTATCTCTCTCACGAACAGAATGTGAACTTTCTGAATCAACAAGTATTTTTTGCATGTTCGGATCGAATGAACTCCAAATATCATCGATTACAGATTTATTCTCCACATTAACTTCAGGACCTGGTAGCTGCATTACTATAGTCACTCTACGAGTTCTGACGTTTTTAGGGGGTACATGCTTGGCCCATTTGGTATTTTCATCTTTTCCTATGAAATGAGGTCCGATTGTATTTCCGATGTTCTCACTTTAGTTCCCCTCTATTTCTTCTTCTGTATTGCTATCTTCAGATCTCTCTTCTACAACATCGTTTTCGGTTGTTTCCTCCTCATCATCAAATTCTTCATCTGTCTGGACATCCCTGTTTGTATGATATATAATTCTCATATCACTGATACAAATGATTATTTTTTTGAATTACCATGCTCATCGAGATCAGAGTCTATAAAAATGTACGTATTATATACATTTCAATTCTCAATCCGATACTGAACATGATGGTAAGTTATATTTTATATCATTATACATCATATTATTTTATCCGATTATCTCAATTTTGTTTTCAAATTCTTATCGTGTAGGGCATATGCACCGTTTGTGGCCACTTCAAGAGTTTGGTATCGTTGATTGAAGCTAGACCATTAATAACATGAAATTCTTTCACTCAGGTCACATCAAAGAAAACTGTAAGTGTTACTGATTTTGAAAGATGGGCATAATAATATAGTATACGGGTTAAAAAGAGATTGATTCAATAAAATTATAGTTAAATACAATTTCACCAGTTGTAGCCACTGTTTCACCAGTTTTGGCCAGGATAAGATCCGGTTGTGGCCACTGAGTGTTCAAAGACCGAACCACGTAGGTATACCTATCTAATAATCATTGAGTATTTTATTGATGATCATGAGTGAAATGCAGAATCAAGTGTGATAATATTTCATATTCACTTCGAAAACAACAAAAATAACAAACAGATACATATACTTAATAAATATATTTTTATAGGAATTGCTTCATTTCGGGAACCGACAAAGCTCCTCTTGTATTGATAATATTAGGCTCACTTATTTTCAGAATAATATCCTTCCTTTTATACCAGAGGAGGTCAGGTGGATCAGGCCATTTCCAATGATTTATTCCACTTTTTTGCATTGCACAGCAGTAATATTCATCATTATTATCCTTGTCAACAATTTTCGCGGGATAAAGATTGTTATCATATTTGAGAATGACAAATCAGTCTTCTGTTGAGCAGTCCCTTTTTTAACAGCAGTATTTTCTTTACAGCTGTTCGCTTTGGCTTCTAAAATTTCAATCCATTTATTTGAAGTAACCACCGATAGAAAGCTAATCCTGTTTCTCTTTGCGTTTTTAGGAGTTGTATTTTCTTCAGGCCATGTTTTAACTTCTTTAAGGACTTCACTAACTGTTCGTTTCTTCAATAACCTCGTTTCTTTATCGACTTCTCTTGTTGTAATTACTTCACCACCACTAGTTTTCGGATCTGGCTCAATAGTAATATTCTGGAGGATATTGATTCTTTTTTCGTCGGAAGGTTTTATTGTATTGTCTACTTCGCTGTTAGATTTTCCGTGGATCTTTGGGTCGTTGTCTATATTTTCTTATATGCTGCACATCGTTTCTTTCATGCTTGTTTGCTTTTCGAATTTGTTTTGTTCTTCTATGCCCATTTGCTCCTCCATGCTTGCCTGTTCCTTGATGTCTATGTGTACCTCGGTCTCGGTGCCTGTTTGTTTTTCCGTGCATGTACGATCCTCGATGCCTTTCTGTTCTTCGATGCCCTTTTGTTCCTCAATATCCTCTTCTTCTTTGGTGTTCTTCTGTTTCTCGATGTCCTTCTGATCCCTGGTCTGTTCTTCGATGACTTTCTGTACCCCGATATCTATCTGTTCCTCAGTGGTTTTTGGTATTTCCGTAGATAGCTGCTCCTCGATGCCTATCTGCTCGTCAACGTCTATTGTCTCATCGAAAGGAAATTCTGGAAAATCAAAAATAAGTAGATCCCTTTCAGCGTTCATCAATTCTACAGCATACAGAATTCTTGAAATCTTGCAATACAAGGGGATCAATGTGTTCCTCCAGAAATGGAAAATGAGCTAGTTTGTCATTTTTCACAGGCGTTGTCGGAACGGTGTCTTGTTCTACATTTGGTAAATCCTTCTTAATGCATTTCTCGTATTTTGGAGCATCTTCATCAAAGGGATAAAGTCCACATGTTCTAAATCCTGAAATTATAGTTTGAGAGAAATCTTGTTGAGTAAGAATTGAGTTCAATGCAATAGGTATATCCTTATTCTGGATAGCTCTACCTTCGTGCTCATATAGCCATTTTTAAGTAATTTTTTTCCAGGCTTGCTTCAGGGGATAAAAGAAGGCCACATCTAATAGTTGCAACAAATGTGTAGTGTTTGGTGGTAGGCAAATCAAAATTATATCATTCGCACGGCATAGATTGCTCAGGTATAAAGATAAATGAGAAGCGTGTCCATCCATGAACACAATAACTGGCCTAGGAATTGCATTAGAGTCCAAAAAACTGATGGAAACATTCGCAAAGTATTCGTAAAATTGTTTGCTCTGCATCCATCCTGAATCAGAGATCCCAACAGCCCAGTCTTTAGGAGCGGATGTGACATATACTTTTGCTAAGCGTTTGGACTTGTAGATTGTCAGTGGCGGTGCAATTTTTCCTTCTGCATTAACTGTCATCAATGTTGTGACATTATCTTTATCAGACGTACCGACGTCGTAAATGTTCTGGCCCTTAGGACCCAGAACCAGTGTACCTTTGGGAGATTAAGAAATTGCAGTTTCATCCATGTTGAATATGCGTTTCGGATCGGTCAATGCTTCACGGTCTGAGCCTAATAGTTCTGTAGTTTCTTCAAACCAATGTCGTATGCGACTTTCGGAAACTGCTGCTCTTTCTTTGTTGATGAACTCAGCGTGTTTTTGACTAATTACAGGATGACGTTTCAAAAACGACTCGAACCATTATCTTCCTGGTATTTTCTTCATTACTTTTGGATCTAATCCACATTCTTCTATTATTCTTTGAACAGAATACATTAGGCCTTCTCTATTCATAGGAAAACCCTCAGCGGCACAATCAAGTATCCAAGTTACAATGTTTTTCTCTGTATCCAGTCCCAATTCACATTCAGGTCCTACTCGTCTACACTCATCAGCCGTCTTGTCTTCTAATCTATTTCTCAAAGATGTCCTTGGCACGTTAAATTTTCTGGCAGCAGTAGCCACAGGCATGTTTTCTTCCCTAACAGCTTTCAAAGCTCCTCTCATAGCATTGTCTGGGTATTGGAATAACTTTCTTGAAGTAATTTTTCCTGTAAGAGAAAACACTTTTTTATCATTCTCTCATGCAGTTGGTTTGAGAATTGTTATCTCTTTCTATCACGTGGCCACAACTGGATTTCGTGTTCCATTTGTGGCCACTGAGTGGCTACTTTCCGAACGTCTAGCCAATTCGTGCACCATTTGTGGCCACCGTTAATTTAAATGTTTAAAGATTGAAAAGCTCCTTGTAACAATTGAAATTACTTAGGAATGAGTATCAGAAGTCAAATAACTCCTATGACAACCATCAATTTCATATAACTTCATCGGAATGTGCTTGAACTTACCATATGTTTCTTAACAAATTTCTTAAGTAAAACACGAAATGCCACCATAACCCACCAGAAGCTGAACTTACACTGAACTGAGAAGTGCGCGAAACACGGAACGTTGCATTCATAGTCAGAATAATATAAGTATATAAGTGGGAGAACTGGAATGTAATTGGCTATTTCTATGCCAAAGAAAAATATTCAAGCATCTTTTCGCGGCTGGCCACAAGAGGTGCAAAGGCCACAAACGGTGCATCTGCCCTACGTTCGATAGATGTAATTGAATGTTCGTCGTGGCAGATAGACAGGAAAGTAGTTGTTATCTGTTGAATGCACCGATGAAAAATGCATATATTCATCTTATAGAGAACGCAGATTCATAATGCATTTCTTTATATATAACAAGGGAAAGCTGTCGTGACTGTTCTATAATAATATTCTTGGAAATATTAGTGGGATGCAGTCTGGACCAATGAATCAATTAAATTTCTTCGTTATTTGTCGTCGAGCTTTCGAAAATTTGTATTTTCTTCATCATGACTAACTGAAAACATCGAATGAAACAATAATATCAAAATATAAATGTACATCAATTGATATTGGTATACTTACAAACATGAAATTCTATATTAAATTAGCCTAAAAAGGAAACATAGGTGTATAAATAAATGATTTGACAAAAAACTGTCATAGATGATGATTGACTAATTTGAAGATGTCGAATACAGAGTGAGATGAATACTGATATACATAAGAATACTAATAAGTATATAAAAAATTTTTGTAGATTATACCGGGTGTCCCAGATTACCTGTTCCAATAGATTATCTCAGCCATTTCGAAAGATGAAAATTTTGAAATTACATGATCTACTACAATTCTGATGACTTGAAATTATTATTGAAGTCAAAATCAAGATCACAAAAATATCGTAGCCTACTGCAATTCGTTCAATTTGAAATTTCAATCGTCGTTCTCTCCATCAAATCAAATTCAAAATACGAAGTGTGGTACATCGCTGGAACGGTAAATGTGAGTAGAAATCAAAGATTGCAAAAGAAATACAGGGTGCTATTCGAAATAAAAAAGTTAGAGTCACTACTGGTGAACTGGAAGTGACTTTCAATTTTTGTTTTTGTCAGTTGGAGCTTCCTTGGGCGAATTGAAGATCATGAAATTTTCGAATTTTTATCTTTAGAAATGGCTGAGAAAATTCATTGGAACAGGTAGACTGGGACACCCGGTATATAAAACATGAATCATTCAAGGAGGACGAGTTGATTTTTTATATTTTTGTTTCTTTAAAAGGAATGTATAAATGGTACTAAGATCGTTGATGTCTGTTCTTTTGTTCATGGTTTTATCATTTTCATTAATATGTACCATTTCAAGAGAGAGACGTTTGTTGAGATGTTTTTCATAATCCAGAATTTTGGTATTATCATAATTCATTTTATGATCTTCATCTATAACATGTTCAGCAAGGCTACATGATTTTGAATTTCTTCTACAATCACTTTTATATGAAGTGATTCTGTCTTTGAACATTCTACAAGTTTGACCAATATAAACTAGATTACAATCATTGTAGGGAATTTCATAAATAATATTCGATCTATTTCTGACTGGTACAGGAGTTTTTGATTTGGTATGAAGATGAAATATTGTTTTCAAATTTGTTTTAGCGAATTTGATATTTGTTTCATTTTTGAAAAGACTGATTAATTTGGGAGTTAGATCAATTATGTGTGGTGAATATTTGAATATTGAAAGTTGATTATTTCTTGGTAGGGGAACGTCAACATTAAATGAACTGAAAATAATTTTATTAACTAATGATTTTGGATACGAATTTTCGATAAGGATGTTTCTTAATTCTACTAGACAATCATTGCTCAAAGTTACATGAGTGACTTTTTCTACTCAATTTTTGAGGTAACGTATCAAGTTAATTTTCATTTTCATTGGATGATGTGAATGGTAATTAATAAAACGATTACTATTGATTGGTTTCCTGTACCATCTAGTTATAATTATATTATTGTGCGTTCTAATCAATTTCATATCTAGAAAAGGAACTGATCGATCAATTCCTTTTTCAACAGTGAATTGAATATTAGTGTTAAAGCTGTTGAAAATATTGGGAATCTCATCAATGCAATTTTCTGGTACAGAAAGAATTAGATCGTCTACATATCTTTTCAAAAATGGAATATCGAAGGAGATTTTATCTGTGCATTAATCAAGGAGTTTATATAAAACATAGCTAGATATTATTCCTCCAACATTCCTTGTTGAAATTGGTGCAGTAATGGTGAGTAGAATAAAAAATCCCACTTCTCTTGTTGTAGAGAACCACAATAACCTGAGAAACTCAATTTTCCTTCAACCAGTTACAAGTAATGAGGTAATTGATATTGTCTCTGGTCTGAAAAAATATACTTCACCTGGCCCTGATGAAATCTTTGTCTTTCTTATCAGAAAGTTCTATATGTATTTCATAGACGCACTATGCCATACTTTGAACTTAATATTCACTGTTGGAAGAATACCCAGAGTCTTTCAAAATCTTTATCACAACACCGATTTTCAAATCAGGTGATAAGAACAGTGTCACCCATTATAGGCTCATAACCTTGAATAATAACTTCACAAACATTTTTGAGAGATGTCTCAAAAGTACAGTTGTTAATTTCTGCACAAATAAAGATATTTTTTCAGTATCACAATATGGTTCTCTACAAAAATGATCAACTGATAATACTGTCTTCGAGATAGTCAACCAAATCAATATTTGTTTTCAAAACCAGGAAAAATGCTTACCTGTGTTTTTGGACTTGGCCAAGGCATTCGATACTGTTGAACACAATATACTTCATCAGCGTTTGTCTGACACAGGTGTAGCAGTATTGCATTAAACATATTCAAGGATTACTTGACGAATAGGATTCAAACTGTCAAGGTGAATAACACTCTCAGTGACCCACTCACAATTACTAGAGGCGTACCCCAACGAACTGTATTCTCAGATTTCAACGGTGAAATAACTTCATTCGCTGACTATACAGCTATCATATTTGTTGAAGAAACGTGAAAAGAAGTGTATACTCAAGCTGAAATAAGCATCCAAATGATCTTCAACTGGCTGAGCAGTGACTTATTGAGCATTAATATAAAAAAAACGAATTATTTGCATTTACTTCAACTATTAGAGACCAACCGAATGAGAATTCTTCGGAAATTCATGAAACATCTTGTACTCAAGAACATATTAACTAACTTGGTACCTTCGGTCTCCACATCCGTTTTGTCCTGGCTAGATAACAGTCCTCACTCAGATGATTATAAATATCCTGAACATCGAAACACCTCATCCTCAACGTTTCTCTATTTCCCCTCAGACCGATTGTTATCACAGGAACTTGATTCTTCTACTCTAGACTCTCTTTTTTTCTCTTTTTTTTTTCTTTATAGCTAAAGGCGAGCAATGGTGTGCCCACTGGTCGTCTTGCTCGGGGCTTGTGTGCTGCCAGATGCAATAGTTTGATGTCCGGCAGGAGCAGTCATGGCAAGGTTGAGATACAGAGAAAGCTTGGCCAGCATTTGGTGCATCTTGCTCGTCTCAAGGGTGAGAATTCTTGTAGACAGGGCCTCATACTTCGTTGTCATTGACTCTAGCACCTTTTCTATTCAGGCCTGTACCTGCAAAAGCTCCGTCAGTTTTCCCAGTATCTCCCTCCGATCCTTGCACGCGTGTGCTTCAGTTGGCTTGCCCACAGGAGCGTCATCCACATCATCCATATCATCGGAGCTGGACATGTCGTCATCATGATACTGGCTACTCAATGCCTCAAAGGTTCAGATGTCGTCAAATCTGAAGCTCGCCTGCTGTTAGAGCTACCTGTTGCTTGAAAATCTTCTGAATATAGGTAATGAGACATCCCTCTTATTATCGTGAACTCATCAAAACACAAATCATCATTCGATTCCGAAATGAATATCTAAAATAGAATCGATAACTTCAATAATAATCTTTCAGTAATTACCAATACCTGATATTCAATCGAACAATCCATATTATACAATCACAGGTGAGTTTCCTTTCGGGATAAAATGAATCGTGTACTTACAGTTCGCAAATCGCCATTAATGCGTTACACAAAATAAATATAATTTGCCTGGCTATCTATTTCGCAGTGAATTCACCGCCCAACTCCAATCTCCCTTGTCCATTGTCTGAAGGGATTTTCAAGTTACACCACATGCCATTACAAAAAAAAAACTATCGCCAAAATTGATATTCGTCACATCACCACCAGAGCACTGGGCACATCATCATCACTTCTGACTTGTTGAAACGCAAAATGTTCATCAAATATACAACTACAATGAAATATTGACGTAGTCCCCTCTTCCATCACTACCCTATCCGTCGTAGTCACCATCCTCGTCGTTATATTCAGTATACCAGGGCCTGTCTGGCTCCTATTGCCAATTAACGGCCTCTCACAGAACTTGCCTGGGGATTTCGTACTCCTGCTCGGCCAGGTCCTTTCTGAGCATTATAAAGAGATGCTTTATATCAATGTGCTCGTTTTATTCATTGAATATGGATTAACAGATAACTATTGAGCACCCATATTGTCATTATAATATAAAGTCAATCAACCTTGA